GTGGTGACCCAATGGAATCAATGGGGACATTAAAGCGTCTACAGAGACTGGTGAGGACCAAGAAAACCAGGGCACAGAGTGTGGATGAGGTGAAACCCACATTAATAAATCTCCGTAAGTAAAAGCTCAATGAGCTGCTAAAAGTTCTTTGAGGGAAAACTGGTGAAGCATATATTAATGAAGTTCATTTTGATAAGGTCTTAAAATAATCATTAAACTTTGAGCTTTCTATGTCATTGCTAAGTTATTTTAAAACAGGTATCCTAATCCTAATCCTAAATTTCACTCCATATCTATGCTGCATCACAGAGGGAAAATAAGGGTCAGTGAAGTCTACCCTTCCCATTCCTCCACCGAAGTGAACAATATTTAAAATTTTTGATGTGAGTATAGCAAATTGGAATGTCATTTGTAACTTTGAATTTATTTATTTACAGAAATGGCCTATGAATTATAATTATTTGGTACCTGTTAACACATTTCCTTTTAAAGAGATTCAATGACTTAGAGCCTTTTACTTTGGGTGAGACATGTTTTTGTTATCTGAAATTGTTTTGTATAGTACAGTAGTCCCTCCTTACCCACAGTTTCACCTTCCACAGTTTCAGTTAGCCTCAGTCAATGGTTTACTTAACTTTTTGGTCTCTGTGACCAAAATACCCAACAAGAGCAAAGTAAAGGAGGAAAAATTTGTTTTGGGCTTACAGTTTCAGAGTCTTGGTTTGTACACAATTGGCTCTTGCTCTGGACCTAAGATAAGGCAGCACATAATGGGGTAAAGTCCCCGCAGAAGAAATATGCTCCCCTCATGGCAGGGTTGAGAGTAAAACGAGGGGAGATGGAGCCACAGGGAAGATACACCTTTCCAGGGCACTCACCCACTGACCCACCTCTTCCATTCACATCCCACCTGCCTATGTAGTGACTACAGTTTATCCAAACTGGTATAGACTGATGAGCTTACAGCACTCATAATCTGATTATTTTACTTCTGAGTATTCCTGCATTAATGGTAGCTTTTTTTGGGAGACAACTCATATTCAAACCTTAACAGTCAATAATGGTCCAAAAGTATGAATGGAAAATTTCAAAAGTAAACAATTCACAAGTTTTAAATTTTGAGCCATTGTAGTATTCTGATGAAATATGATGTCATACTGTTCCAGTCTAGGTAGGGACATGAATTATCTCTTTGTCCAGAATATCCA